TTGGGATATTTTAGCTCCCGCAGAGTAGCCGATGGCAGCCAGCCAAAGCTGTATCATAGTTATATTAGAAACAGGAAAACGATGGAATCTGAACTTTGATCCCGGCACATCCTTGTGGTCACAGCCTGGGAATTTACAAGTTCGCACCATTGTTAATTTAATACTTTTTACCTAGTTTTCAGTCGATTGTGTAAACACTATGGAACAGCTGATCGTAACGTGCACACTGTTGACGTTGTGGCAGCGCGGATTGATAGAAATGGATAGAAAATAGTGCATCATTAAAACTGAGGTATGAATTTTGACCGGCGTGTTTTTTGTGTGGTAAATTAATCAAGCTTTGAAACGCAAATCATTTTTTCACGTAAAAACGCACAGTTTTGTGGTCCCGGAAAATAAGCGGAAGTACTTAATTGAAAAACTTCCAGCGGTCAGAAATCTGACCAGGGGGGTGACGACAGAGTGGGTCAGTGTGTATGCACTATAGTGCTGGTAAGGATTGCATACAACGTCATGTCTTAAATGGATGAACTAACCCTTTATGGACTTAGACATCCCAGCGCTGTCGTCAACTCGCCTCTGACCCGCCTATATCAGATACAGTGATCTGATTGGTGCAGCTCGGCTACAAGGGCAGTTAATGAGCATCATTACTCAATGCCAGAGTGACTCGCCGCAAATTAAATTTGTGCTCAGGATAACTTCATGTATGTTCCAGGGTAGGTTAGATAGCCTTAAAACAATCACATATACAATACACTATAGCTTTAAGAACGCTGTGTTTCCAAGAGCTAGATAGACCAAGCATGTCTAATATCCAACAGGATCAACGCTGAACTGGCTCAACTGAAGAGTGTCTTTTTACTGTCTTTTTAGAGCTGTGCCACAGCAGAAATTATTCCGTTTGCACCATGAAATGTTATCTCCTTACTATCAACACAAGCTGCTTGAATCTGTGCTGAAAGCATAGCATGTGCAATGCGAGTAGTTGCCAATAACATCAATGAGTATGACATGAGTATATTTTACATTATTTTTGATCAAATAAATGCAGCCTTAGTGAGCAGAAGAGACTTCTTTCAAAAACATCAAAACATCTTAATTATTCCAAACTTTTGTTCGGAGACTTATATATATATATATATATATATATATATATATATATATATACTGAGTAAAATTCATATCAGTTAATTCACACATGTGATATCCGTGGAGATATAGCATCGCCTCACTGGCCGTTGAAGCAGCCTAGGGTTCTGCCATCTAGTTTGGCTTGCTTTGTGCTTGTTGTAGTCAAGATGAAGTAGTCAATCTGAAAACTTGTGCTCACCATCTCTCACCCCTGACCCTGACATGCACTGGTGTAAGAGAAGGACATGACCCTTACATTGGCTGTATATAAGTAGACCAAAGCTTCTAACACTGTAAAACAACAACAGTGATATATACAGTTTAGTTTTTACAGATGTCGCATCAAGACATCATAGACGTTTAATGCTGCACAGGGGTTTGAACCACATCACAATTGCAAATAACCCCACGTGTGTGGGTGTGTAAAGACGCTGCTGGAGACGTTATTAGTCTCAATGCTTGAAGCAGAACATTAATAACAGAGCTTCATTCTAGAGAGATTACTTTCCTCTCATTTATTCTAGTATTTTAGTGTAAATGTGCTTGAGATTGAGCTGTTAAATACAGGAACTTCATTGCTGTACTTCAGTGCAGGTCAATCTCATTAATGACTCACCCTCATGTCGACCCTCATGTCACCCTCAAGCCCGTAAGACCACTGTTCATCTTCGGAACACAGTTTAAGATATTTTAGATTTAGTCCAAGAGCTTTCTGTCCCTCCATTGAAAATGTATGTACGGTATACTGTCCTTCAGAGGTGAGACCAAGTCATTGTTTTGCAAGTCACAAGTAAGTCTCGAGTCTTTGCATTCAAGTCCCAAGCCAAGTCCCGAGTCAAGACAGACAAGTCCAAGTCAAGTTGCAAGTCCTCGAGTTTAAGCTTCAAGTCTTAAACAAGTCATCATTAGTGCTTTTTGCACAATTTACTGTCTCAATGTTAATTAATATAGCAAATGAAATGTATACTAATTTATATCAGGAAGGCTTTTAAAATATGATATAATATAATAATATATGATATTATATTTATTCAAACTTAGTGGATGTTGATTGGTTGGATGATTGATTGGTTGAATGTGAAGAGTGGCAATGGAGATTTAAAAATTTAAAAAAAAGTAACTGTTCATTGGGAAAATTAATCGTGATTTGCTACACATGATGTTTATAATATTGAGTCCCTGGTTAAATTATTTCGTTAACGCGACAGTAATTGGGCTAGAACATTTCTATTTCCATAGCGACGTATCAAGCATCATGTGACACTTTTTGGGGCTACGTGCCTGTCATTTACAAAACGTAACATTTCTCCCGAAAGACATGAAAGTGAGTGGCTGGTGAACAGGGAGAAGACTTTATAGTCACCTATAGGCTAAAATGTGCGTTTGTTGTGGGGGAAAAATAACGTGTCTCAAAATTACATTTGAAAGGTTTATTATTTCCGCTTACTTAGACATCAGTGTTTTTTTTCTCTCAAATTATAAATGGTTTGCTAGTACTTGTGTATATAAATGCCTGAAAAAGAAAACATTATTTGGTTGAAAACTATTTGAACATGTGATTATAAATGAGAACTGACACGCGCTGCCGAACGCACTCTATCATGCGCTCAAACAATGCCAAACGTGCGAAAGCAGCGCTAATCAGTGCTGTGATCATGCGTCAATGATACAGTGCTATACTACAGTCAGTGATTATTACAACTCTGATCTGTGGTTTTAGAAGGTAGGTCAAGTCTTTCCAAGTCACAGGGCTCAAGTCCGAGTCAAGTCGCGAGTCATTGTTGTCAAAGTCCAAGTCGAGTCGCAAGTCATCTTTGAATATGTCAAGTCGAGTCACAAGTCATCAAATCTGGGACTCGAGTCCAAGTCAAGTCCGAGTCATGCGACTCGAGTCCACAACCCTGCTGTCTTTGTCCAGAAAGGAAATTAAGATATCATCAAATTAGTCCATGTGACATCAGTGGGTTAATAAGATTGTTTTTAAGCATCGAAAATACATTTTGGTCCAAAAATAACAAACTATGACTTTATTCAGTATTGTCTTCCGGTTCTGTTTTTTGGGTGAATTAACCCTTTAATACAGATGCCAAGTGAGGTATAAAGCCCAAATACATTTGCATAACTCTATGAACAGGGACCTGATAAACTTATTGAAAATAGTCCTGTGAAGTCTATTTGAAGTAATACATATTTTTATTTCTTGAACTTAAAGGGATACTCCACTTTTTTGGTAATAGACTCATTTTACTACTCCTCCAGAGTTAAACAGTTGAGTTTTACCGTTTTCGAATGTATTCAGCCAATTTTCTGATATTTAGAAGAATATCAGTAACCAGACAGTTTCTGGTCTCATTGACTTCCATAGTATATTTTCTTACCTACTATGGAAGTCAATGAGAACAGAAACTGTCCGGTTACTGATATTCTTCTAAATATCAAAAAAATCGGCTGAATGGATTCAAAAACTGTAAAACTCAACAGTTTAACTCTGGGAGAGTTGTAAAATGAGCCTATTTCCAAAAAAACGTGGAGTATCCCTTTAAAGCTGTAAAGCTGCTGTGAAACGCTCAATAGAAAGAGCTATATAATACACATGAATAGACTTGACTTGACACTTTCTCCTCTTACTCTTCCATGTTTCCTCCTGCCTGTGCTTGACACACCAAATGACTGGACCTGTTCATGTTTCATAGCAGGTTTAAAGCAGCAGAGAGGGTGTTCTGTCTCTCATCACTGATTCAGCCTCACTTTAGCTTGTTTTGCCTACTCTTATTCAAATACACACCACATACAAAGACAAACTTTTCAGAGCTGAGTCTGAATTCGAGTTTTGCTCTGGAGACACTAGATGGTTTATACTGGATGCAAAACATCCCTGCAGCATTTATAACCCGACCACTAGATCCCAGAGCCAACTTTACATTACCTCCTGTCAGCAGACAAATGACTGGAAGTAAAGGGCTCGTGGGTTAAGTTGCAGACGTCGGCATTTATCAGCCATACAGCTTTAGCTTGATAATATTCAGCTTTCCGTCTTCAACATGGTCACTCTCTGAGCATTGTTGCAAGCAATTTAGTGTTCACTGTTGATAATCCAAACATGGTAGGAAGTCAGAGAGCTGAGGTTAGTGGATCCTGATGATCTGTACATTATGCAGAAGCGTCTGGACCAAATTATGTGAGTAGAGTGGCAGAAATTTCCCTCTGCGCTTGAGGCATTCAATCATGCTTTGAAATCTCGCAAAAGTTCTGTCCATAATATAGGCCTATTAAATGGTCAAATAAATAAACTATACTAGAAGAATAGTTTCAACGTGGTTTATTTGTACACTGATTTGCAAACATTTTTCCTACGACCACCATCATAACCTTCACATTCTTTCTAATTTGAGTGATCCATCTGTATCATGCTAACTAAATGTGTTTAGCGTGTGCGTTCTTGCTAATACTGCAGTTACAGTATGAGCCTTTGGCATGAACAGTAAATCTTGCTCCACTCCTGAACACCGCAGAGAACTCGCTTTCATCTCATCAGAGGAATGAGGAAGACTGTGGTCGCTTAGGTCTGGAGGTCTGGTGTGAAAACAGGGGAATACAGGGTCAGTCTTTCAAACAGCAACAGCACCATTTGTGACGTGCTGGACGAAGCTTTCAGAGTGAAGTGCATGAGTGTGTGTACAGGACTCAGGATAAAGGAGTTAGTGTTGAGCCTGAGCGTTAGGAAGCACATCAGAGCACTAGACCTGCAGACAGTAGCGCTGCTGTTCGAGGGAGTCATTGAGTCTTAACGCACGGGATTCATCTAATCATCATAATGCACGCTAGAGACGAGGAGGAATCATTTCTCCATACTTTGTAAGCACGACATGAAAGGCGTCTTCAGGAGTTATGACTTCATTGGCTGTAAGGGTGACTCAGTCAGGAGTTTGTTCACTGTGAGAGATGGAAAGGGTCTTAAACAGCATCACACAATATTGTTCAATTTGTTTTACAGATTAAATCTCTTGATAGTATTGGTCAGTCATGGCTTCTCTGTACATTTGTGTATAATGACAATAAACGGTATAAATGGATGTTGCCAGAGAGATCCTAGATACTGCAGTTGCAATAATAATGCAAGTCAACTCATATTTATATATTTGGCGGGTAGAGTTATGTATTAACTTGGAAATGTACAGACAGCCCTCCTTGATCAGCCTGTTGGGGATTATATAGCGATAAAAGTGATTAAAGAGGCACTTAAAAAAAAACACTTAAGCTGAGTTAAGTACAATATAGAGGATGTTATATAGTTGAGCTGTTAAATCTGCATTGTAGGTAAGCTTAATCTACTATGGCGACAGGCAAGCTGCTTTTAAAAATATGCCCTGTAGGCAGGGATGGGCAGTATTTCAGATACATGTATTTAAAATACGTATTTGAAATACAAAATACTATTTTGTATTTTAAAGCCTTTGGAAAAAATCTAATGTAATTTGTATTTAAATACATTTAAGATTAGTATTTTTGTATTTTCAAAATACTCAAAATACTTTGAGCCAGAATCCTAGAAGATCAGAGGAAGGATTTTGACATCTTGAACCAGTATCCAGTTATTAGACAGCTGTTTGTGAGGTTCAACACAATCATTCCCTCTTCAGCTCCTGTAGAGCGTTTGCAATAGGCCACACAGACGACGCCTTATAAACCCAAACTTTTTGAAAAGCTGGTGTTGCTAAAGGGTATCGAATAGATGGATGTCTGATACACATAGGTACACCACCTGGAGGAGTACATCATCAGTTATTTAAAATATAATTTACTTTGTCTTATTGAGTTCTTGTTACTGAGTGCGAGGTAATGATGGTGATAAAACATAGTAAAAGATGTTTGAAATTAGTTTTTTTTGTAGTTTTGTTACAGGGCTGGGGAAGGGAAGAGGTAAATAAAATAAAACGAAAGTTTCTAAGTAGTTGCACACATCTAAATATTTGCTGGCGTTCAGAATAGGCCCAGATAGATTTCAGCCTAATAGGGATGCCTGCACTGAATCGCCAATGTCACATTTTCAAAATACAAAATACTGTATTTGTGTTTAAATACATTTTTCCCCGCAGTATTTTGTATTTGTATTTAAATACATTTCCATGTATTTATGCCCATCCCTACCTGTAGGACTATTTTAGTTTATTCTTTTCACATGTGTTTAAGAAAATAATGTATCACTGGGTGTTTGCAAAAAGCAATGTTCTGAAACATCACTTGGACACTAATGCCATCCTTACGCCATTTGAAGGATGTTAGTAGTGTTTATCTACTAAGTTAGTAGATATTATTAAGGGTACGTATCTGTGTGGGAGAACACAGGACAAATGAAGTAACAGAAAGGTGTGGAGAAAGCCGTTACTGGCCGTGCTGCATGCATGCGGGTTAACACATCTCTCAAATACAAAATCTGGCACACTTGGATAGACCTCTTGCAGGTTTCCGTGTGTGAGGGTGAGAGCTGATAGATATTAATCTGGCACTGATGTCTTACAGATGTTCAATTCCAACAGCTGTACTACGTTTTGATCGCCTCTCTTTCAGGCCTATCCACTCTCTCTCAAATAATATCCTGAGTTAACACGGCCTCTTTGTCTAGCCACTATTATTTCACATTAGGCTGAACGAGGTTGGTCAAATTTTCCATTGACTGAGCTTGGCTAGAATACAGTCATGTCCTGCTTTCCAGTATATCTCATCCCAGTGGTGGTGTGACTCATGCCGTGCCGTAGGGGAGATCAGACATGAGCAGCAGATGTGAGAAAAGAGAGAGGCACAGGGAGCTTCTCGGAGTAAATCCCGTGTCCGAGAGCTGACTATGCCAGGATCTGCCACTGTCTTATAATGCGATGAAACACAAAGCTGACATAGTGAGCATTCTTTTTGACTTTAGACTTTGTTGCAGTTTTCTATTCCTGCATGACAATAACTCCACTGATCACATTTACAGGAACAGCCATCCCTTACCTGTTACTTCAATACACCCTTACTAGTGTATGCTCCCTGCCGCCAGTGACAGTGAGTGACTTGAACAACTTCTTGTTCCTTGTTTCTTGTTGTTCCTTCACAGGGAGGAACACATTTGCTTTCTAGCCTCTCGGCCCCTCTCTGATGGAATGAATGAGACAATAACATTCAAGCTCTTGTGCAAGCACTTTCCTCTTCACAGTCCTTAAACAACAACATCTGCTCTAGGCTTGTTCCTAATCTAGCTTTTTAATAAACCTGGCACAATATACTGTTAATATTGGTGACTCTTGGATTAATTGCTTGTTATCAATGTGAAATAAACCACTGATTTAGCAGACACTTTTATTCAAAACATCATATATTAATATGATGTTTTGAATAAAAGTGTCTGCTAAATCAGTGGTTCCCTAGCCTGCTCCTGGAGTCAAACTAACCGTAGAAATGTAAACTTTTTCTAATCAAACACACTAAAACTCATTGTTCGATTGTTAGAAACTCCAAGACCTAAAATGAATATGGTCAGATAATGGAGCACAAGAACAACGAGATTGGGAAACACTTCTTGATTTACCACTTTTGAATTACATTTCCTCCAGTTTTATACATATTTTTTATAATGTTATACATATATTTCTAGGGCAGTGGGCACGAGTAATGTGGTGATCATTCAAACAATAAAAGGATCAAACATTTAAACTGTTATCCTTGACATTTGATATGATTAAGGAAGGGTTCCCAGCATGTAACCAGCGATGTTGTGTCTAAGTCTCTCTAAATGCAAAGTGGTAGAGAGTTCATATAGCTCATATTTAAAAAGGGTTTTGATGCCTTTTTCCATCGATAGAGGGTTAATTTTTTAGCTACCACAATTCCATATCAGGTGGCTTTTTGATTTAGATGACCGAAGCCATGAAGAGAGCTAGACCAGCCAGAGATAGCAATTTCTGGGTCAGGGAGATGTCACAAGATTAAGTCTCACAGTCGAATCTGAAGATTTCACTCCAAAACTCGTAAAGCTTTGGGCATGACCAGAAGAGATGTCCCAGAGAGCCCTCGGTAGATTCACATTTGTTAGTACTACTTACTATAAAAGTTAGTATTATAAAAGGTACTATATTATACATCGAATTTGTTGGTGGCTTAAGTTATTGGAACATGTGTTTATGACCTTGATAAACTCTGTCCAGTCCACGTCAGTTATCGTAATACCTAAATATTTTCCCAGGAATCTTTTAGATATTATGCAGATTTGCCGAGCTGACCATAAAACGGTAAATCAAACTAGGGGCTTGCACTCAATCTTTTGATTGAGATATACTTAAAAGTATATTGAATTACTCTAAGTATACTTGGCTTGTAGTTTACTCTTTTGATTGTAAAGCCTATTAATACCTTTTTCACATAGTTTTACATACTGTCCCATAAACTTACAATGTTTGAAAATATTGATTTTAAAAGAAAACAGCTATGTTCCTTATCCTAAGTGTGTGAATTTTTATGTAGGTACATGTAAATGTAATGTAAATAGGAATTTACTTCAAATCCACTGAAGTTAAAGGCATATTTCAAGTGTAAAAATTATTACCTGAATAGGAACATAGTAGTAATACTTAAAATGCAAAAATAATATATAAACAGTAAACTATCAGTACGATGTTAAGTTCCCTTAATTTGCACTAGCCAATTGTCACTAGCCTAAAATGTACTTGTTTTATAAAACTAATAAACTCGAGTAGTTTACTGAGAGAAAACTTCAAGGTGTACTTTCATAAACAAAAACGTGCTATTATCAGTATACCTTGTTGAAGTTCAGTTGAAGTACGTATAGTTGCAGTACAAACAAAAAACTTAGTTGTAAACTAGTTGTGTACTCAGTTTACTACACTAAAGGTGGGCCAATTTAGACCCAAGTAGTATGGAAACAGTACACTTACAAGTATACTACTAGTTTACTGGCATCAGTATACTTACTACATAAAGTACTGTAATATACTTGAACAATACTTATTTGAAGTATACTTAATAATATTAACTGGAAGTATACTTATTTATTTTTTTTGTAAGTGTTTGCAAAGTAGTGGATTTGAGGAACTCTGATGCTTGTAATGATAAACAAGCAAATACGGATGAGGATTTGGGTGTCACTTTAAGTTCTAGTTCTTTTATTAATAAAGCACATTTAAAAACAGTCTGAGGACTGACCAAAGTGCTGTATAAGTTAATAAAATACTCAAGTTGTCCTCTTCTTTCTCTCTGCAGATGCAGCAGTTGTTCTATGAGAACTATGAACACAACAAGAAAGGTTTCATCCAGGACCTCCACAGTAGCAAGATCCACAACACCATCACATTGCACCCCAACAAGCGTCCAGCGTATCAGTACCGTCTGCACGTGTACCTGCTGTCCCGCCGGCTCTCCCAGCTGCGGCACCGCACGGTCCAGTTGCACCGGGAGGCCCTCGCCATGAGCCGGCTCGGCAGCGCCGCAGTCCGGCGGGAGGACCAGCAGCTCGGTGCGGCGCCCTCATACACGCGCTACCGGCCCGCGGGGCGCAGCGACGTCCTCGAGTGGGAGTTCCTTACCGCTCGGCACCTTTACTCATCCAGCAAGAAGCAGATGCCCCGTCAGGGCCTCGGAAATCTGGTGCGCTCCGCACTGGAAGACACCGTGCTTCAAGTGATGGAAATGATCAACGAGAACTCAAAGACTCGAGGTCGCATCATAGACTTCAAGGAGATCCAGTATGGCTACAGACGTGTGGATCCAATTCACGGTGCTGAGTACATCTTGGACCTTCTGCTGCTCTACAAGAAGCACAAGGGTAGGAAGGTGACCGTGCCGGTGCGGAGACACGCTTACCTTCAGCAGTCCTTCAGCCGGCCGTTCTTCAGCGAGGCGGAGGAGCTCGATGTGTCCCGACTGGAAGACACCATCAACGGTGACTCGCGCTCGCTCTCTTTCCTCTCCAGCTCGCTCAAGATCTTCTCCTCCTTCCAGGTCTCCGAGACCGCACAAGTCCAGAGTCAGACCAAAGTGCACTTCCTCGTCCCGCTCACCGGTCGCTATGAAATCTTTGTGCGTTACATGGAAAACTTTGAAAGAATCTGCCTGATCCCCAACCAGAACGTGAAGCTGACCATAATCCTGGTTGACAATGATACAAACCAGGATAAGGAGAGACACCTAGAGCTGATAAAGGAATATCACAACCGATATCCTAAAGCAGACCTGTCTATCATCCCTATGACGGGAGACTTCTCTCGAGGCCTGGCCCTTGAGATGGGCGCTTCTCAGCTGAGGAACAACTCGCTGCTGTTTTTCTGCGATGTGGACCTGGTCTTCAACACAGACGCCCTCCAGAGATGTCGAGACAACACCATTGAGGGAAGTCAGGTGTACTTCCCCATAGTCTTCAGTCAGTATGATCCCAAAATTGTCTATGCTGGTGACCCTCCTGAAGACAGCAGCTTTGTCTTTACCAAGAAGACTGGATTCTGGCGAGATTATGGATTTGGTATCACCTGCATATTCAAAAGCGACTTGCTTAGAGCGGGGGGGTTTGACACCTCAATACAAGGCTGGGGTTTAGAGGATGTTAATTTGTTCTCTAAAGTCATCGATTCTGGCTTGAAAGTGTTTCGCTCTCAAGAAACAGGTATTGTGCATATTTTTCATACTGTCTTCTGTGACATGCGTTTAGAACCCAAGCAATACAAAATGTGCGTCGGGTCCAAAGCAAGCACTTACGCATCCACAATGCAGTTGGCACAACTGTGGTTGTCCAAACATTTAGGCGTTGGTTACAACAGGACTTCCTCCTGATGTCCCAACCAGGCCCCAGAAATCACTGGAGTTTACCTCAGATCTGTAAAAGTGCAAACTACAATGCATTCACTGAATGTGTGGATATTTTTAGGGATTCTGGGTAATGTATGTCCTATCAAAAGAGTCCAATCCAACTTTCCAAAGGTTTGTCCTTGCCATCTAACATTGCAGCATCTTCCAAGGGGTATTTATTGCACAAGTCTGAAAAGAAAGTAATTTGTTTTCCATCTTGCACTCATATCTTGAGGAGCATGTGTTTAATGAGGTCCTAAGGACCAAGGAAAGATGTGTTTTCTGCGTGTCATCAAATATAAACAACATAGTTCACATTGCAGTGGTTATAATAATAGTAAACAATACAATAATAATATTGTACAGAAAGTACCAGAAATGTGCTTTAAATTTCCTTGCTGGGGAAAGAGCTAGAAAAATGGTGTTCTCTGATTTATAAAAGGAGAAATACTATACCTTATTTCAGTATTTTCTAATGGATGTGAAGTGTTTGATGATCTTGCTCTATGATATTACGGTACTGGTTACCATGTGACATCTACAATCACCTAAAGGATTATTAGGAACACCATACTAATACTGTGTTTGAACCGCTTACGCCTTCAGAACTGCCTTTAATTCCATGTGGTGTTGATTCAACAAGGTGCTGAAAGCATTCATCTTGCAGTTGATGGAGATTTGTGGGATGCACATCGAGGGCATGAAGCTCCCGTTAAACCACATCCCAAAGATGCTCTATTGTGTTGAGATCTGGTGACTGTGGGGGGCATTTTTGTACAGTGAACTCATTGTCATGTTCAAGAAATGATTGAAATTATTTGAAATGATTTGAGCTTTGTGACATGGTACATTATCCTGCTGGAAGTAGCCATCAGAAGATGGGTACATGGTGGCCAAAAAGGGATGGACTTGGTCTGAAACAATGCTCAGGTAGGCCGTGGCATTTAAAGATGCCCAATTGGCACTAAGGGGCCTAAAGTGTGCCAAGAAAACATCCCCACACCATTACACCACCACCAGCAGCCTGCACAGTGGTAACAAGGCATGATGGATCCATGTTCTCATTCTGTTTTGGCCAAATATTCTGACTCTACCATCTGAATGTCTCAACAGAAATCGAGACTCATCAGACCAGGCAACATTTTTCCAGTCTTCAGCTGTCCAATTTTGGTGAGCTCTTAAAAATTGTAGCCTCTTTTTCCTATTTGTAGTGGAGATGAGTGGGACCCGGTGGGGTGTTCTGCTGTTGTAGCCCATCCGCCTCAAGGTTGTGTGTGTTGTGGCTTCACAAATGCTTTGCTTCATACCTCGATTGTAACAAGTGGTTATTTCAGTCAAAGTTGCTCTTCTATCAGCTTGAATCAGTCTACCCATTTTCCTCTGACCTCTACCTCATCAACAAAGCATTTTTGCCCACAGGACTGCCACATACTGGAGGTTTTTCACACCATTCTTTGTAAACCCTAGAAATGGTTGTGCGTGAAAATCCCAGTAACTGAGCAGATTGTGAAATACTCAGATCGGCCCTTCTAGCACCAACAACCATGTCACGCTCAAAATTCTGGTATTCAGTTTGGACTTCAGGAGATTGTCTTGACCAGGACCACACCCCTAAGCGCATTGAAGCAAGTGCCATGTGATTGGTTGATTAGATAATTGCGTTAAAGAGAAATTGAACAGGTGTTCCTAATGATCTTTTAGCTGAGTGTATGTCTGTGATTTTTTTCTGGAGTGCTCCAATGAACAACTTTTATTTTGTTTTTGCTTTGTGGCTTTTCTGATTTTTCCATTTGCTGGCAGGAAAAATTCAGTGGCATTGAAATTATTTATAATAAAAACATTGACATGCATATTTGAAATGTATCTGTCTATAGTTTAAATTATTACTCTTGATTTTAAGCCAGATGTTGTGTGTAGGTTTTAGACATCCATCTTTTACAAGGAATGATGCAATTTTCAGGAAATCCTTTATGTGAAAACCAACAATCTGAAATGAATTTAATAGTCAGATATTAGCATATTTGCTGTCATAACTTTTCAGCTATTCTATGTGTGTCAGGCTGTCATGACTGAGCTAATTCTGTGGTTAGGCGATCCATCTGTACTGTCAGTCCGCTTAAAACCCAGATCGTACATTGTGTTGCTGTTTCTCGGCCAGCTGATCTCGTATGGTCCCCTGCGCTGTTCTGCTGCATCACATCACTGTCTACATTATAAATCTCACTCTGCAAAAGGAGAAGTGGGACTGAACAGGAACACCTTAAATATACAGTATCAATATAATGAACATTAGCATTACCGTAAGTAATCATTTGTCTGGGACCGAAGGATTGGGAACTATTGCGGCGTATCTTACTAAAACAGAACAAAAACCAAAACCAACCAAACATAACCAAAACAACTCAAATGCAGCAGCAGGCTGACACATGAGGATTTACACTGAAGACGCGTCACGCTGAACCATTGAGTCTCTTTATTACGCTATTTCACATACAGGGGTTGGACAATGAAACTGAAACACCTGGTTTTACAACACAATAATTTGTTAGTATGGTGAGGGCCTCATTTTGCATCCAAATACAGCACCAATTCATCTTGGGAATGACAGATAGAAGTCCTTCACAGTGACCAGAGGGATTATGAGCCGTTCCTCTTTCACAACAGTGTCCAGGTCACTATATGATGCTGGTGGACTCGCTCCTCCAAAACACCTCAATAATATTTAGATCTGGTGACTATGCATGTTCAACGTCACTTTCATCTTCATCAAACCCTTCTGTCACAAGTCTTGCTGTGTGTGTTGGTGCATGATCATGCTGATACACGATTTGAGCATCAGGTGCTCATGATCCTCCAGAAGGGTTTGGTAGTCCTCGGCAGTGTCGTGTCCATCAAATACAATCAGGGTTGTCATGATATTGGAGCTCAAACCATCACTGATCCACCCGTGCTTCACTCTGAAGATTGGCCGCCAGGCATATAGATGTGAAACCTCCAACATTGGCCAGTGTTTCAGTTTCATTGTCCAACCCCTGTACATAGACAATGCATATACATGCATGTTGTAAGCAGTGCAAAGGTACCTCAGAGACATCAGTAAAGGATGTTAGTGATGATGACGATGATGGGAACAGTGGTAAAGCCAGTGGTGACGGTAAACAGAAAGTTTCTCCCCATGCTCACCCTGCAGCCATGATCCAAACCCAAGCTTGCACACAGGTGAGCACACTCACACCTTAATACAGACACCACACCCCCGGTCACACCCACAGTAACCGATGACATCACCATGTGCGTGCATGTACACAACAGTGCAAGAAAAAGAGAAAACATAATAAAAGCCCAAACAAAACCCAGTGTATGGCTCCTACAAGAAATGAAAGCTTTAGCATAAGTTCTGCCAGGAAGACTTAATTTCCACGTCACTTGTTACCTTCAGGTTATCCAATCACGTTCTATTCTTGTCGTATAAACATGTACTTACACATGTTTGAGTTCGCAGATGCAGACGCGACAACAAACTCCACCCTCCCCACCACCACCAGGATGGTCCCGTCTATACTTCCCTGGGGGGTCGGCTGCGCCCCTGCCTTCGTCTTCAGGCAGGAAATGCTGATCCGCTACCCTCGGATTACGATCTATGGACGGGGCCTTCGCCAAAGAACTTTGCAAATAATTGCCTGCTGGGCTGTCAATAAATGGATGCTTTGTTACATCATTTTATCTCCCGAGTCTTTCTGGTAGAGCTATAAACCTATCATCCCAGAGTGACACAGGTGAGTAAATAATGAAATTTTTCTAATTTAAATGGAATCAAGAGTTTGTGTATGTTGTGTTGCTTTAATTTGAGTCTGGACTATTAATGATGAGTATTAATGACTATTAATGAGTGTTAATGATGATTTAGTTGAAAAGTTCTGCTCCTAAAGGGTTTTCACAGACGTATTGTTTTCTTTCTCATACCCCAGCTAACAGGGAACGTTCTCAGAACTTTGGCTAACATTCCCTGGAGGTTTGGTTAATGTTTTAAATAAAACATTTGAATGCAATGTTTAAAGAATGTTTTAAGGATGTTTTCTCATTTCAAATAATGTTCCTATAAGGTTAAATGTAAACTAAGATATAACATTTTCACTGTAAGATTTTGTGAATGTTTTGGGAATGTTGCTGAGATAACAGATTAAACAATGTTCTCAATAAAACATTAGCACAATATCTCATAATAACAGAGGAGGAACATTATTAAATCAACGTTCTCAAAATGTTTTGAGGATATTATTTAGGCCTGAGATGATGGAATGTTTTTATAAAACGTTCTTGTAATGTGACTTGTTAACAAAACTAGAACATTTTTACTGTAACATGTTGAGGATGTTTTCGGAATGTTGTTGAGATGACAGACATTACAATGTTCTCAATAAAACATTGGTACAATGTCCCATAAAAACATAGGAATAACATTATCAAATCAACGTTCACAAATGTTATGAGGATATCATTGAGGCCTGAGTTGATGGAATGTTTTTTATAAAATGTTCTTGTAATGTGACGTGTTTAACAAAACTAGAACGTTTTAAATTTAACATTTTGAGGATGTTGATGAGGTAAAGGTTTGTAGAATGATCTTTTATAAAACATTGAAACAATGTCCCATAATAACAGAGGAGGAACATAATCAAATTAACGTTCGCAAAATGTTTTGAGGATATTATTTAGGCCTGAGATGATGGAATGTTTTTTATAAAATGTTCTTGTAATGTGACGTGTTAACAAAACTAGAACATTTTCACTGTAACATGTTGAGGATGTTTTGGGAATGTTGTTGAAATAACAGACATTACAATGTTCTCAATAAAACATTGCTACAATGTCCCATAAAAACATAGGAATAACATTATCAAATCAACTTTCACAAAATGTTATGAGGATATCATTGAGGCCTGAGTTGATGGAATGTTTTTTTATAAAATGTTCTTGTAATGTGACGTGTTTAACAAAACTAGAACGTTTTAAATTTAATATTTTGAGGATGTTGATGAGGTAAAGGTTTGTAGAATGATCTTTTATAAAACATTGAAACAATGTCCCATAAAAACATAGGAATAACATTATCAAATCAACGTTCGTAAAATGTTTTGAGGATATTATTTAGTCCTGAGATGATGGAATGTTTTTTATAAAATGTTCTTGTAATGTGACGTGTTAACAAAACTAGAACATTTTCACTGTAACATGTTGAGGATGTTTTGGGAATGTTGTTGAGATGACAGATATTACAATGTTCTCAATAAAACATTGGTACAATGTCCCATAAAAACGGAGGAGGAACATTATCAAATCAACGTTCGCAAAATGAGGATATCATTGAGGCCTGAGTTGATGGAATGTTTTTTAATAAAATGTTTGTTATGACGTGTTTAAACATTAACACTGTAACATGTTAAGGATGTTTTGGGAATGTTGTTGAGATAACAGATATTACAACGTTCTCAATAAAACACTGAAACAATGTTCCATAATAACAGAGGAGGAACTTTATCAAATCAATGTTCGAAAAATGTTTTGAGGATATCATTGAGGCCTGAGATGACTGAATGTTTTTATAAAACATTCTTGTAATGTGACGTGTTAACAAAACTAGAATGTTTTAAATGTAACATTTTGAGGATGTTGATGAGGTAAAAGTTTATAGAATGATCTTTCATAAAATATTGAATGTAGGCCTACAACAGAGGAAGAACATAATCAAATTAACGTTCGCAAAATGTTTTGAGGATATTATTTAGTCCTGAGATGATAAAATGTTTTTAATAAAACATTCCTTTAAATTGACTTTTTAACAAACATTTTGCATGATACATTTTGAGGATTTTTTGTCGAAATGTTGTTATCTTTTATAAATCATTGGCACAATAACAAAGGAGGAACATTATCAAAGCAACATTCATCAAATGTTTTGTGGACATTAACCTGAGATGACAAAATCTCATAAAATATGTTAACAAAAGCTCATAAATTTGTAAGGATATTTTAAGGAAGCTGTTTAGGTAACAGATTTTAGAATTATTTTAACCTATAGAATAATGGCATAAAAGAGGAACATTGTCAAAACAGCATACGTAAAGTGTTTTGAGGATATATTAGGCTACTCTGAACTGAACTGTTGCGACAAATGCGTTTACAAGAGATGAGAAGCTGATTGGAGGTCGCTGTAGATCGACGTTTAAAACCACCAATCACAGCGCGATGTTCACATGACGTAAGAACATTTGAACTCGTCGACAAACAGCGCAAATAAAGCAACGTTTCTGTTGAAGAAATCGGCGCAGAATGTCCGTTGTCTAAATTGGCGACACATTGGCCCAAAACAACAGAACTCCTGGTCAACGGAACTCTTTCACAACTGTAAGTTTTTGTGTGTACTTTTTCAGTTTACATAGCTTTCTCTTATCCTTGATGTCTTTCAGTATTAGACCTAACTTTCTACTTTCTTAGAATTGTATGACAGTCGCAATAAATCGACTGAGTGTATGCTACTTTTGAATAACAGCTAGATTTGTTTTAATGCAGACTCCAAACGGACTGTTTCAAGATGATTAACTTACCGATGACACAATAAAGTCTCCATTTACAACCAAGGTAAGTTAGCCTACTATAATGCCGGTATTGTGTTCTATGCATACGAATACTGTAGCCTATTTTTACTTAAAAGTGATCTTAATGTCTTTTGAAAGTAAAAGTTAATAATATTTCAGTAATTCATATAACGTTAGAGGTTAACGTTAATGAATTGGAAAGAGCGTTTCTCAAGGCTTCAGGTGTATATAACATTCTTCTTTCAGATGAATACTATCTGAGTTATATTTAAAAAAATGCCCTGACTCTTCTGACTTTTAGAATGGCAGTGAATGGCCGTCTATCAAGGCGCATCCATCCATGATAAAAGTAATCCACCACATGACTCTGGCGGGGTTATAAAGCCCTTTTAAAGCGAAGCATTTGTGTAAGAAAAATATCCATTTTTAAAACTTTATTGGATTAAGATATTGGATACATGGATTAAGTATGTTTTAAATTACAGAAACAAAAAAGATACTCACAATTTATCATATTTATACTTTCAATAAATTAGTCTTTACATAATTTCTGACTGCTAATTAGGCTGGCTAATTTTGAAAGTTTTCAATGTCAATATTGCTTGTGATCTTAATGTATGTGTATTCTTACACTTTTGCATGATCTTTTTTAGGCTATGAGGAAAAACTCTACCGTGGCGTGCACACAGAGAACAGAGCTCAATGCTGCTAACTGGGGGAGCAGCTGGACAACTAGAAGAGAGAATAGTAGAACACTACTATTAATACAGATTCCTGGATTATTCTTCTGCAAGAACCAAAACAAGCAAAGACTGATGATGAGTGCTCTGAGCAAACACCGGAGTCAAGACGCATGAGTGACTTTACAGAGTTCTTCATGTAATGTTGGGCATTTACTGTACGCAGAAGTTCTAATAATTTATGTGGATGCCATTTATAAACCTGTTAGATTTTGATGTTTTAGTTTTGAGATTAATAAAATGTTATGCTTTAACAATGTTATAGCTAATCATTTTTGAGGGGTTTTAAGAGAACATTTTGGGAACAAAAATAAACTTCCGCTAAAAACTTTATAAGAAAGTTAGGGGATAATGTTTTAAAAATGTTATGATTAAACCTTTATAGAAGGTCATCACAAAACATTTTCAGAGTGCTCTTAGCGAATGTTATGCCATCTTTTAAGAGAACATTCTGGGAACAAAAAGAAAAATGATATAAGAACGTCAGGGAATAATTTTCTAACAATGTTAGCATTTAACATATTTAGAATGTTTTTAGAGAATGTTATTAGAACTTTTAAGAGAACATTCTGGGAACAAAAAGAAAACTACCTGCTGAAAATGTTATAAGAACATTAGGGAATAATGTTCTAACAATGTTAGCAATAAACATATTTAAAATGTTTTTAGACAATGTTATTAGAACTTTTAAGAGAACATTTTAGGAACCAAAAGAAAACTACCCGCTGAAAATGTTATAAGAACGTCAGGAAATAATGTTCTAACAATGTTAGCATTTAACATATTTAGAATGTTTTTAGAGAATGTTATTAGAACTTTTAAGAGAACATTTTAGGAACCAAAAGAAAACTACCCGCTGAAAATGTTATAAAAACATTAGGGAATAATGTTCTAACAATGTTAGCAATAAACATATTTAAAATGTTTTTAGACAATGTTATTAGAACTTTTAAGAGAACATTCTGGGAACAAAAAGAAAACTACCCGCTAAAAAATGTTATAAGAACGTCAGGAAATAATGTTCTAACAATGTTAGCATTTAACATATTTAGAATGTTTTTAGAGAATGTTATTAGAACTTTTAAGAGAACATTTTAGGAACCAAAAGAAAACTACCCGCTGAAAACATTATTAGAACACTGCATGGTAATGTTCTCAGAACATTTTTAGAACAAAAAAATCCTAGCTGGGACAGTAGTTTGTACACTTAAGTAATTTATGGTTAGAAGCTTTAAAAATAGACATATAACCTTGAAGGTTATTTTGTTGTGGGTGTTGTCAGAAAAAAAAGTAGTAAATGAGCCTCTTGCCCTTTGTAGTGAGCATGCGAGGAGTGGGCGAAAACACTTATCACCCTGACAGGCGTGAGGGATCATCCGGGCCGTCCTGCTTTAAAGGTTAATGTCTAGTTTCATGAGGCGTGCATGCTTAATGAAACACAAGAGCTAGCTGGTAAACACTCCAGTGAACTGTGGACGTATGCTGACTAGAAGTGCTTTTCATAGTGCAGTCATAGTGACTTTCTTAGTATTATACAGCATCCCAACTCTCAAGTTGACTTGCTTTGTTACTATACAGTAAAGTTGCTAGTAGGCATCAATAGTCAAGTCAAGTGACTATTCTTTATTTATATTTCAAAGCAGCTTTACAATGATAACAGGAAAAATAATTGTATCCATTTATTATTATTATTATTATTATTATCCCAGGTGGGAAACTTGATTTGCAGTCAGGGCACAAGATAAAAACATACTTACATACAAGGATCAGAATAACAACACAAATACACAAAAGATACCCACCCGAAAATAAAATAAAATGTACCAGTGCACACAGTACGCTATGAGTAAGCCTACCATAAAAAAAAAAAACTAGAACAATCTCTAAATATGAGGTTACCTGAGACTATTTAGCTGGGTAATTGCACAGGGATGAAAGGAGTATTTGCTTCTATTGCACTTGAATCGTGGAACTCTAAATCTGCGACCTGAAGGAAGAATTTCAAACTTAGAATGTAGAGGATTTGTAGTCTAGTATAGACCTAGCCTGACTACGTCAGACTTCCTACTTCCGCTAATTTCATTTCGCTCCTGTAGTCAGTCTGAGATAGCAGCCTATCTTTCAGTTTTCCACTGGTCTGAAAACAGCCGGCCAATCAATGAACAGAGGGCGGGCTGAGAGCCGTGATAAAGGCGCTAAGCGCCAAGTATTACATCGCAGGTTAGAGAAATCGAAAACCTAAACGACCGCAGAAATGGGAAACGAGACACGGGATGCAATTCGCTCTGTTATGGAGAACATTCCGGGGGGTTTCAAACTGAAGCAAAAGTCGTTTACAGCCATGTTCACTCCGGTATTTCGCTCGCATCATCAAGTGTTTACAGCCAGGACCGGCGCGTGCACTTATGCCGCTTTAGACGAAAAACAATTTTGCCGCCCCTCTATTTGCAACGTATCTATCAGCAACAACAAACAAAAACCAACATGCCATTAAACGTGAAAAAACTAGTCTAAAGTCAGTGGTGCTTTGCACGTTGTTAATAATGCTATTTTAAGGGCGCATGCTTGGCCATTATGTAGCATGTGCACAACGCGCATACACTTTGATTCTTTCATCAACACAGATGCAGCCGTTTTTATTTTTGCAAATCATACATTATAACAAGGAAAAATGTTAACACTTCAAGCTTACACATTTAGGCTACCCAACTTTTTCAGGCTAATTGTAGTAATGACGGATCAGACCTGTTTGGCCTCTTATATAGTGGCAAGACACATAAGGACATAACTTACCCCCATACAATGTCACTTCTCTGTCTTTTACGGCCATGACAAGAACGTCGGTCTCCTCGGCTGTGAACGCTCCTGACGCGCTCTTATTATCATATTATTATTATCATGATAATAACAACAATCCACCATATTTCGTTTCGATATCCTGCTGCATTAGTCCCAGATAGGTGATTATGAACGATCTGTTCATTGTGTATGTCACGTGACGAATGAACGTAAGACTCGGAAGATAAAGTGATTATTTATGTTCCCTGTAAATAATTTTTTACTGCATTATGATTTCTTAATTCAGAATATGATCAACATTGCGTAGGTGGATGTGATCGGGGAATTTGGCTGTTAAAATGATAACATTTAAAGCCACTTAAATAAATGAAGTGACTCAGAGAGTCAGTATAATGAACTTCCTATTACCCAGTCATGACTCGTGAGAGCAGGGAAGCTAAATCAGTCACGACTATAGTGAGAGCAGGGCACGCCGACGCTGCGGGGCGGCCGCAGCTCAGTAAATCATATAAATAACCTAGTTTGTGAATTGTTCATTCCTGGTTGGCACACATTTTGCAGCCCTTACAAAAGCACCGCTCCCTGTTTACAGTGGAAGTTCGATCATAGATTTGAGTTTGATACATGATGTCTGTGGTTCGATGCGGCTGTGTCGGCGCATAACATACGTCATAAATAAACTTATCTGATTGGCTTACGGGTAACCAATGATTTTAAACTTCAGACAACCGCCCCCTTGCGAGAGAGAAAACACTTCTCTATTATGCCATTCCAGACTCTGTCTACGAAACAGAGTCTGGTATTACCAGTCTAGTATTAGACCTGGACTTACGGATAACATGCTGTTCAAAGATAGCAGTCAGGGGAGTCTGTGCGATCCCTATAACCTTACCAGCCACTTTCACAATGTTGTTTTTATGGTTTTTGCCTCTAATGTTCAGGTTTCCATACCATGCAATCATAGAAAAAGTAAAGACAGATTCAATAAAAGACTTGTAAAACAAACACATCATTGTCTTGTCAACATTGAAAACATTTAACTTCCTGAGGAAATACAGACATTGCTGACCCTTCTTACAAATTGCATCAGAATTAGCATCAAATTTCAAGTCACTATCAATTATTGTTCCTGGATATTTATACTAAATTCAATCCCGGTTCCTTTAATGAAGGTCTGAGATGGTGATTTGGATGATTTCCTTCTAAAATCTATGATCATATTCTTGGTTTTTGTAGTATTTAATTGGAGGAAGGCTTCATCATACCATTAAACAAACTCATCTACCACCGGCCCGTGCTCGAATTCAGTCTTGTTAAGCAAGCTGATGATAACTGTGTATCATCAGCAAATTGGTGCAAATTGGTGTAAAGAATATACATTACAGTGGACAGGACACAGCCCTGAGGAGAGCCTGTGGAGGAGGTGCGTTGATCTGACAGAAAGCCATTTACTCTAACCCTCTGAGACGTTAAAAAATCTACAATCCAGCCCACAAAGTTAACATCAAGATTAAAATAATTACGCAATTTCTTAGCTAGAAAATGTGGCTGGATAGTATTGAATGCAGATGAAAAATCCAAAAATAAACGTCTAGGATGCATACCAGGACTTTATAGATGACTGTACAGGAAGTTGAGTAATATATGATTTGGGCATCCTCTACTCCCATCCCAGCTCTATATGCAAACTGCTTAGGGTCCAGAGCCTTATCCACCATTTCCAACAATTTTCCTTTAACTAACCTTTCAAATGACTTCATGACCAGTGATGTCAATGCAACTGGTCTTAAGTCATTTAGCTCTTTGGTTTTCCACATTTTGCCACCAGAACAACAATGGACTCATTCCACATCCTTGGGACCCGCTGCTCCAAGGACATCTTAAAAACAAAACAGAACACCTTGCAAAGCTGTTCTAAACAGTTTGTGAGCAGTCTCCCTGTAATACTGTCCGTTCCTGGGCTCTTATTTATCTTATTTTTTTTTTTAAACTGCCTTAACATCCTGAGGATTAAACATCTGCAAAATCCTCTGTGTCGAATCGTAAATAAAAAGTATTAAGTACGTCAGCTAAGTCTTTGTTACCATCATAACCTGCAATGTTAAATTACTTATTTACCGGTTTTTGCTGGCCTGTCATTTTCTTTCATTCCACCCCAAGCTACGGCCAAGTTATTGCTGCTTAAAGGGGGGGTTGACTGCGATTTCACTTTTTTGATTTTAAATAGTGTGTAATGTTGCTGTTGGTGCATGAACAGTATCTGCAAAGTTGCAGTGCTGAAAGTTCAATGTAAGCAGAGATATCGTCTTTTAAAAACCAGGAAGTGTAAACGCCTACAAAAACGACTCGATTGGGACTACAGCTGGGTTATGGTACGTCACTAACCCACACATTTGCATCAACCCTCCCTCCGGAATATGCAGGAAAGGGCATACGCATATTTCTGCAGCACGTCGAGTGAGTTGTGTTCATCCAGCTGACAGGTCTTCTGTGTTCGAGCTTGGATGGCTGTGTTCGAACAATGGATACAAGTTATGTTTGATTATATTCCTGAAAGTGACGATCGTAATCTAGCTCTCTGTGCTGCGCATTTTACAGAAGACAGCTTCCA